CTGGGTCCCGAACCGTAAAGCCTCTACTGAGAGCGAAGTGTGAAAAATGTACGAACAGACGCGGTCAACATGGAGGCAGACATATACGGGAAAACAAATGTCATTGGCGGTTTCACTTTAAAATCTGCCTGAAAAAGGCTTGAATGCACACTGTTATTAGAAGTAAAACAGGTAGGTACAGTCATATGGACCATATATACATATATATGCTTAAGCAGATGGTACAGAGGAAAGCTAATTCATAAATACACCAACAGCCAAATGAACTGTAAATAGATTTGAGACGGACCTCATACTTGAAAGTTTCCTTTGCATTACTCTAAACATCAGTAATACATATATAAAAATGGTACGTGACATTCTGGATTGGGATTGCCTCTAATGTCTTCTGACCTCTCGCTTTGGACTGCGCAACGCTTTTTTTGTGTCCTTTGAACTATGGAGAAGGTCACAGCACGCTGGAGTCAAAGAACAGACCTTGTGAGTAGGGAAAAAAAAGAAACACTGACTGATATTTTGAGCCTTTTTGTACACAAGAGAAACTCTTTGAAGTAAACTGCTTTTTTGTTTCTAATGCAAGCTTATATTATCTGTTCATGGACTATCAGTTTAGGAAATGCTCAGCATCCAGCTCTCATATTGTCATGATAAAAATGTATTTATGAACTTTCTGTACTTTGGATTGGGTTTTTAATGTTTTATTCTTTTGAAGTAGTTTTTAAAAGCGTTAGGACTGTTGAAAGACTCGTTCACAAAACCTTGTGATGGTGCCAAAGGACAGAATTTACACACTCATGAAGAATCACACTGAACAAATTACAGTCCATTTTAAAGAGTTATTTTGACAAAGATGAAGCCAGTGTATATATATATATATGTATGTGTATATATATATATATATATATAGAACATCGTTCTGGCATTTCTTGTTTGATGTTAAAATATGTTCCGAGTTTATATAGCAAACAAAACAAAAAACAGCCAACCAGAATCTGTAAAGCACCTTGCACTTGCACATGATTTAGCGGTCTATAAAATTATAGGGCTATGCTATTTGTGTAGGTGAATGCAACTGACTGGGTGAATGTCACAAAACCTGTCAGGATCATGTCCAGGTCATGTTTCCCCCAAAATGAAAAGGAAAAAAGTCAAGCCTATTTTTAAGAGTGAGCCCATTTTTTTTTTTTTTTTATTACTGTAACGCCATATATTCTCATTATTGTAATATATTTAAATTGTGTTAATGAGAATCCTATTTGAGAATAAATAGCTTGAGGACCATGTGGGAAATGTGTTGAACTGTCATGGAAAGATTCTCATATTGCAAAAGTCACGGCTAGCTGTGCATTGAGCTATTTTAATGCACGACAAGGCAAAGAACCAACCGAGTGCATTCAAATCACTTCATGCACAGCTAGCCGTGGATTATCCTGCTTATACCAAGGTTATTTGTCAGCATTGAAAAGTTAAAGTTGTTATTGATATTTGCAGCACAATATTTGACCGGAAGGGTTGGTTATTTTTTCATCGGTTACGGTTTCATCAGTTAGATAGATCTAGCATTTTGTCTACTTTAAATCACACACAGATATAAAGTAGTGCGTAACTTTACATTTATTTGAAAGAATGAGGCATTTATTTGCATTAATTATTGAGAGAAAGAGAGAGATGTGTATGTGAATTACCTGCATCTGTGCAGCTGTGAGTTAAATTCCTTAAAAAACAGTGACTTAACCCCTTCATTGCTAAGTAATATAATGTAGCAATTCAGCTATGCGAGTGATTTGTGTGTGTGTGTGTGTGCTTCAATGAAAGCAGCGTATTAATATAGAACAGTGATTAAACTGACTGGAACTACCTGTGCTTTAAACAGTTTTATTCCACCCCTTCTAGCCATTCATTATTGAGGATTCAGACAGGCCATTAATCTAAACCGACGTTTTATGCAAAACCATTTCTTTCTTTTTCTTTTTTTTTATTGGGTTTAATTTTACTTGGACATGGTTTTGTGAAATTCGCCCTATATATACTGGGAAATGTTTATGATGCTTTCAAATTTGTTGTGTACATGTTTATTTTATATAAAGATTATTTGAGGATGTTTTAAACCCATATGTGTTTGAGTTCTCAAAACTACCTTGGAGTCGGTTCTCCGAGGTTCAGGACTATGTTTTTGCTGCTAAAACACATGGTGCATTTAGGCCACATAGTAGTTTATTGGTCTTGGCAGCTCGAATTGTTGGCTGGCGAGGCAACTGGAGATGATTGCGGTTTACCTTCCACTCCTCCTTTTTCAGAAAAGAAATCAGATTTTGGGTCAAAAACGGTTAATGTATACAGAGTCTTTTGAACAAACATGCATTAATTTTATTCATTTAAATTATATAACCACTTCATTTGTTTGTAGGATTGGTGCCAGTTATTTAACAAGAGTGCTGTTTTTTTTTAAGTCCAGAAATTTCAGTCTCATGTAACTGCTGTAAGTTAACTAAGATATATTTATAATTTCTTCGGTTGTAACTTGTATGTAAATATGAAGATGTTGTATATGTAGTTCTCCTTTGCAATACTAACAAGCTGTGTGTGACAGTGATTTACTTTGCTTTTTTTCTATCTTTAATATAAAACTGCATTTGCTTTGGAATACAAATATGGCACTTAATTGAGTCACTTTCTTTTAAAGATGCTACATGTATGTTACATTTTTGCAGGTTTTGTATATGGGAGACCAGGGGCAGTTGTTTTTGTGTTTTGTTTTGCTTTAACATTTAACATTTTACATAATTCAGATTTCTATAAATATGCCAGCTATCTTTATGTATAAGGCAGATGAGTCGAGTAATATGGTCATTTGATATACTGACATTGTGAAAGACTACTTCCTAAAACTGAATTTACAAGATATGAAAGTGTTACATCTGCCCCTGTTATGGTGTCGACTTGGAAAAATAAATAATATAAACCTGCTGTATCTCAAATATGAGCGCATCTCAATGGAATAATATGTATGCTTTAATACTTAAAGGTGCAATAGGTGATTCTCTACAGAAACATTTTTGTTATGCTGGTTGAAAGTCTCCTTATATCCTGATAGCAGTCACAATGTTAAACAATCAAAATGTATTTTTACAAATATATGTTTACTGTAGAAGGCGTAGGACCATAAAATGTTTGTTTAATTATTGCATTCGGTGGACCCTGTCTGTCACACAACGTGTGTTTGCATACCACTGCACAGCCTGTTCACGCCGACATCATACGTCATCAGCGCTGTGCAGACAGAGCGAGAATGGCTGGAAAATAGTTGTTTGTTCGTTATGTAGAACTGTTACTCTCTGTACTGTAAAGTTTTCTCAACAGGCGGTGTACGACACATGATGTAATCAATAGCGTTGTCTCTGGTCATCTTGCTTCTGGTCTGTGCGTGTTCATGTGTTTTGGAGGAAGCATGGCTTTGGACAGCGATTTGCAGGGTGGGTGGGATTGTATGTTGTCAATGCTAGCAGGCTAAAGTTAGCATTTTCCAGATCACCTATTGCACCTTTAATATTACTGAATTGTTTTCTTCGCATGGTGCTGCTACTTCAAGCTTTCAGGAATAATATGTTTAAGTTGTGCACATAGCGTGATGAGTTCTCTTTCGCTGCTTATTGCGTTTCAACGGTTTAAAATCTTTTGTTTTATCGCAATGCTTAAAAATGCATGCAAATGATATGCTTTCATGACCACGCAGCACAGCAACGTCACATGTACCTAACCACGATAGAGATGAAAGTCCAAAATCTCAATCAGTTGAAAAATTTCTACTGGTTATATCGGTATATCGCCCACTCCTACAAGGTAATCATCTATGGAAGCTTGTTTCTGTCATGGAATAAAACCATTTAAAAGATAATTGCAACTTTATATCTAACAATTCTGACTTTTTTTTCTCAGAATTGCGAGTTTACGTCTTGGAATTTTGATATTTCTTTCTCAGAATTGCGAGAAATACACTTGTAATTGCGAGTTATAAAGTCAGAATTGTGGCATATAAAATTGCAATTGATAAAAGTCAGAATTTGAGGAAACAAAATCAGAATTGTGAGATATAAACTGACGTTTATATGAATTTTTGTGAGTTTATATCTTTCTATTCTGACTTTTTTTTCAGAATTGCGAGATAGCTCACAATTGCGAGTTATATAGTCAGAATTGTGGGACATAATGTCACAATTGCGAGGAAAAAAATCTGAATTGCAAGAAAAAAAGCCAATAGTTGTGAGATAAATTCACAACTTTTTTCTTGCGATTCAGACTTTTTTCTCGCAATTGCGAGTTTATATCTCTTAATTTTGAGAAAAAAAGTCAGAACTGCAAGATGTAAATCGCAATTGCGAGAAAAAAGTTGGAACTATACCTTTTTTCTTTTTTATTCAGTGGCAGAAACAAGCTTCTAATCATCTGCACAGACTGTTTAGCAGCTATAAAAAGTCTGAAGTTTGCTCACTCTTACTGTTAACAGGTTATAATAGGCTATATGATATTATGCAACTTGTATGGGCTCCATAATCAATGAATATCATTCATTTTCTTTGGGTTCCTGCACATAGGAGTAGGAGATGTGTGGGCAAACTAGCAAAAAATATATTCAAATGCAATAATGTCAAAATCACAGTTCACAAACAAATCTGAAGCCAAGGCATTTATTTGAAAATCTGCAAATAATATCTTGAAGAAACTGTGGGATACAGAAACAAAAGGGAAGACACTTATTTAGTACAAGAAAATGTGGGTAATGTATAGGAGGAGGAATCATAACATATTAATTAATCATACTACTATAGAAAGACAATAAGCTATGTACCTAATATTGCAAGACGAAGGAATTCATTACTATCAGAATAAAGAACTGAATGCACCAAAAGCTGGTTTGCCAACCGCTAATAAACAAGAAGGATTTCATGGATTCGCTCTCCAGCACATAGATGGCGTTATACACTTCTTCAGTTCGCTTCAACCCGGCAGTGAATCCCCTGAAGAAGAGGCTTCGTGAATAATTTAGTGCGTTTCTGTTGAATCATTTGGACTGGAGTGAACAGTTTGTAAGATTTCTTGAAATAAAATAAGTATAAAATCTGTAATAGTTGAGCACTCATAGATTCATTTGATAAATACCTTTTATTTTGGCAGAAATTGTCATGAAAATGACAGAGGTAAACAACGCTGTTGAGCCAAGTGTAGCTGAAGGGGATGTACGACTTCTAATAAAAAGAAAGGATGAAATTGAAGAGCAAATCAAAGCATACTACGACATGCTCCAAACTGTAAGTTCAAACCATAGATATTTATATATGGATTTAAATATGTTTTATCATTCAACCTAAATGCAGTAAATAGACACTTTATTGGTTGTTTTGAAGTTGTTCAATAAGGTCGTTCTAGCTAGATGCTCGCAACGGTCTCGAGAGCAATAACCATTTAAAAAGTTTTAACTTGACGACTTTTTCGTGTGTAACTCGTTAAACTGCGTTTGGAGAACGTTCATCTGTCTCATGCATCATGAAAACAAGAATGACTGTTAATAAAGGAAATGCGTAACGTGACAGTTAATGACATTTGGCGTGGTGTGGACGGTTTAATTTAATTTAATATCTCGCCACAACATTATGAAATAACGTTATAGCCATGCTGAAAAAGCGTCTGCGTCTTAAACCAGATGCCTTGTATGGAGTCAGGATAGTGTCGAAATTAATGGTCAAAATAGGATGCACACGTAAAAAGTAATTCACATACACATGCAATAAATAAATAAAAATAAATCAATAATTGTTTCGCAAATGAAAAACTTAAAAAATGTACAATGCTCACACACATTTTTAATGTTTATAGGGGTGTAACAATATATCGTGTCACAATATATCGCTATACAAAAATGTAACAATATTGTATCGTGGATAAATTTAATTGTAGTCTGTATTTAGTGTTTTAGTTAAGAGTTTGTGTCAGACTACATTAAACTACTATAATGCTGAATATTTGTGGGTCCTGATAATGTCAAATGTCTTATGTTACCAGTAAAAAGTGGCCTACATTTTTTTAAATATATCTAGTCAGTGACAGAGTGCAAGCATATTCGTCTGAAATAATTCTGTTTTTTCAGCTTCAGAATCATGGATATTTTTATTCTGGTGTCACCATTGTCCACTGTCCAAGCCTATTCATTTACACCCCCAATGTAATACCAAATTTATCATTTTAACTAAAAGTAAATTTTTTTGTTAACCTTTCACCATATGTCTGTGCTTATTTTGAGACTTTCCTACCTCTATACCAGATTGCAACAGTTGTTTTCTTCCAACTAAAATTCCCATCCATTTCCCATCCAAAAGTCATGTTAACAATGCAAGAACTCTTGGTGAAGAACTGTACTACCTGTTCCAGAGAAGTATCCACTTATATAATTGCAGCAAACAAATAGCACCAAAGGAACTCTGCAGTCCCATAAAGCCCCACAGATGATGTAAACTCTCTCTACACTTGTAAACTAATTATAAATTCGTATACATTTGGGTATTCTATAATAAACGTCAATTACGCCATTTCTATACCTTTAATGAGCAAATTTAAATCAATAGTTTTGTGTTTTTCATATTTTTTATTGCATTGTTCCCAATGCTTTGCGGTTCATTCCTGCATTAATGGTTTACTTGCTTTAAATAAAAGTCCTCTCTGTTATATAATTTCCTGTTCCCACCAATCAATTTTGAACGAAATATTAAAATAATAACAATAAGTTACACAAAAAGATTTGATTGTGGTAAGTTTACCCTCTAGGTTGGAATCTGGGTTTTAACAGAGAGTCTCAGCCGTAGATTTGAAAGAGTTGACCTGTTGCCAGCTTATGGCCATGTTGCTTTCTGGTGTGTTTGCGTTTAATATTATGCAGCTAACTGACATTTGATGACTTTTAAAGAAGACATTTCTTCATGTGGTTTCTTCAGCAGGAAGGTGTAGGCATCGACGGTCCTCTGGTTGATGTCGAAGGCTTTCCTCGTGCAGATGTGGATTTGTACAAGGTCCGATCAGCAAGGCACAGTATCTCTTGTGAGTACGTTTTTCATCTTTACCGGTAGACACAATAAACCAGTAGAAATTTGTCAACTGGTAGAGATTTTGAACCATCATCTCTTTTGCAGTTATGCTCACATGACACGTTGCCTTGCCGCGCCGTCAGGAAAGCATATCATTTAAATGCATTTTTAAGGACTGTGGTTTAAAAACAAGTTATTTTAAACTAGGGATGCGCCGAAAACTGAAACTGAAAATAAATAATCAACACTCAAATAGCCAAAAAACTGAGTTCTACAAACATTTAAATTGGACATAGGGCAGTCACTGAAAATAACTGTTTCGGTTGAAAATTTTCGGTGCATCCTTATTTTAACCCCTTATACTCTGATGCATGTTTTCACTCTTCAAGTGCTTAACAGTTTTTAATCAAATGATTTTTAAAGGTTTACAGAATGATCACAAAGCTGTCATGGTGGAGATAGAGGAGGCCCTTCATAAGCTGCATGCTACAGCACGGGTCGGAGAAGGGAAGGATGAGACAAAGATGGAAGCCACTGGACAGACTGTGTCTCTGTCATCACCGTTTGCCCTGGTAGACGCTGTGACACATGGTTCCCCTGCTTTTCAGGCTGTGAGTTTGTGCCCCCAATCAGCCTTTTCTAACCTTCTGATGGGTCGAAGTCAACTTGAAATTAAAACACACCCTGTTTGCTTAATACACATTCATGTTTTTAAAATCCTGACCTACTTTTTTTTTATCACTATGTGTCCTGTTTTACTTGTTAGTGTGCAACATTACAGAAGTAATTTACAAGGTTGCAACTTTAGGTTTTTATTAATAATGTTAAATTTGTATAGATTCCATCAGCTATTTTATTACATACAAAATTAAATACATGATAATATTAATAAATTATAACTAAATTAAAATGATAAATGTTGCCTTGGCAACTAGCTGTAATAAAATGAAAAACTTTATATTGGATTTCAGTTAACGTTTAAGTTTATTTTTTTTCAAGTAACAAAAATGTTTTTAATGGTTTTAGTTAACTATGTTACTGATTGAAAGGTTTATTTCATTTCACATACTTCTGTACTTAAGTCTCTTTTTGAGCCTAGACACTAACTAATGATGTAAATGGAGCATTTAAAACAAATATTGTCGATTTTTCATGAGGGACAACATCTTACAGGTCATTGATTTTTCTTCTGTGTGTAGGGTTTGCGAGTTGGTGATGAGATTATGGAGTTTGGGTCCGTAAAGACACAAAACTTCAGGAATCTGCGTGACATCGCTTCCGTTGTCCAACATAGTGAAGGGGTGTGTTATAACTAACACATTTACATATTCTTTTTAATACTCTGCATTCCTGTTTGTGTACTACATGATTCAGTTTATTCTATCTATACTGCAGAAATCCCTACGTGTTGGAGTATTTCGAAATGGACAAGAAGTACATCTTAGTTTGACTCCGCAGCATTGGTCTGGTAGAGGACTGCTTGGGTAAGTAATGTGTTTTGGATTAATTACTTCTATCCATAATGTAGACTCAGGTGACAAGTAATGAGGTTAAATGTATATCATCTGTCTTTGCTGACCCTCATAGCTTGACTTGACACCCTCAAGTCTTGTAAGGTTTTATTAAACGCTGATAAATTGCCAAATATTCTTTCGAGGATCATTAATTAATTGATTTTTATTCTTCTGCCAATAGGTGCAACTTAGTACCTCTTCATAGATGACCAGTGAAAGCGCAAGGATCATCTTTATGCCAAACAACATTGCTGAACAAGATACATTTTCTTGCTTGTTTTGCATTTGCAAATTGTAAAATTGAGTTAAGTAAATAAATACCCAGAAGAGATGACAGACCATTCAGAATCAGACTGACTTGATCTGTCAGAAAGAAAATGGGTTTTCACTTGCCTTTTTCTCCTTTCAAATTTCCCGCATCCAATTTTTGTTTAAACTCTTTTTCTAATATCGGTGCACTTACACTATTGAACAAATCTGGCAAGAGGATCTTAAATTGTGCATGCAAAATTTCTTAACATGTTAGGCTTTCACACTACCTGTTTGGGAACCTGGTGCATTTTCTACCTTTGTTCGGTTAGTTCAGGCATATAAAACACTATAATCGTGCTCGAGTCCGCACCAGACAATCACTCCCGAGATCGCATTATAATTTTCATACAGTATATATACAAGTTAGAGCAACGGCTATATTCATGTTTTGCGTGTCTCGACAGCTACGGATAAAGCCATAATAATCTCGCAGAGCGAACTTGTTAATCCATCTTGATTGATGACTCAAAGGAAACTGACCAATAAGAGGACATTTTTTTCTTACATGTGACTTGCATAAACGCATTTTGGTACGCTTTGAAATGTCGCCTTGTGAAATCGAATCGAACCAAGAAGAAAATGCAACATTGTAACACATTAAGTCCCTGTTTTGGAACAAAGCAAACAGTCCACAGTTCTGAAAACACCCTTAATATTAAAGCGAAGCAGAATGATAAGAACAGAGTCATGTGATAACAGGAAAATGATTCAATAATGCAGTTCATTTCGGCTATACAGCAGCTCTAAAAGAAAAGTCATTACAGTGTTGATTCACTTCCATTGTAAAGATCATCAATTATTCATTTAGTTCATTTCATCTATAAAGCAGTTCTGCAGAACACAGTGATGTCATCATCCAGCTCAGTTTAGTTCTCATCCAATAGTGTCAGTGCAGACAAATCAATAATATTGTTGGATATTAAGTGTCCCCAACTAAGTATTCCAGAGGCGAGAGTGGCAAGGAACCCCAACTCCATCAGGTGACAGATAGAAAAAAGCCTTGGGAGAAACCAGGCTCAGTCGGGGACCAGTTCTCCTCTGGCCAACGAACGAACACGGTGTGATGAGATTGTGGATCGGTAGCATTCAAATATTTCATCCAGTTCCTTTTGCTTGAAGATTTGATTCATCATGCCAGTATGGAGATGAAGCTGGTCATAGGAGGATGTTGTGGAATTTTCTTTTCTAATGCTAACCTAAAATCTGACTATCCGCTTTTCCTAAAATGCTCACTCTGTCATACTCCAGCTCCCTTTGTCTACAATCGACAACCGCTGAGTTTTTCTTCTAATCCTACCCTACTCAAGCTCTCTACGTCCATAGTCGACGTCTTAGCTTCGAGTTTTCTAAACTACCCTACTCAAGCTCTCTACGTCCACAGTCGACGTCTTAGCTTCGAGTTTTTCCTTTCCCTTACAACTCCTTTGCTGCGCAGCTTAAATGACAGACAGACTTCAGTAAATGTCCTTTAGATGCTCTTTATTCCAGCTGGGAGTCCTCTCGAGCAGTACTCAGAGAAGTCTCAAAATTAATCAAAGAATACAACAGGCTTTATAGTGGAAAAGCCAGACACATCAAAAATAGAATCATCATCACTAAGCAAAAAATCATTGTCCCGCTCTACCCACATGATTTGTCACATTTGTTAAAGCAAGCCCCCCTCCTTTGTTAGTGACATCAGCATGTTCAAGGAACAGAACGTTTAGTGCATTGTCAAACTTCAACCTGACCAAGGTTATAATATGGGTCAAATATTTGTCAGATGGTTAGATCATGTGGAAAGAACGCCTGATGGCTACAACCTGAAATAAAGGAAGTAAGTCTCATTATGTTTTATTGTTAGAATAAGAAATGGAAAGTTTTAGTCGTTTTCAGACAGAGAAGTAGGAAGCATGATAGATTGAATCACATGAGAGAAATATTGAAATCATGATATCTGATAGAAATACGAAATCAGAATGTTAGTAATATGATTAACTTTACTGATTATAATATAAAATCAGAACTTTATGGTTAGTGACATGATTGACTTTGTCTATTATAATTTTTCCACGACAAGGACTTGTCTGGTTCTTGTGGTCTTTGCTGAGGATCTGTGTCGACGAGGTCTTCACAGGGGAGAGTCTAGTTGAAGTATCTCTGCTGACCTTTAGGGATGTGTTGTGGCCGTGTCTTAAGTGCAGGTCCACCATCTGATCTGGATAAGGACCGGACATGGCTGACTACTGTAACCTCGAGATAGACAGAGAGATTAATATTAACAAAGATGACATTCTTCTTACGATGTAACAAGTACATCAGGTGTTATGGGAAGTGTTCCCGGTTCCGGTTGACATAATTCATGCAGACTAACAGTGATAATGTGTTTATGGAAGGTTAAAGAGATGTGTTTTTAGTCTAGATTTAAACTGACAAGAATGTGTGCTTCTCGAACAATGTTAGGAAGACCGTTCCAGAGTTTCGGTGCTAAATAGGAAAAGGATCTACCGCCTGCAGTCGATCTTTATATTCTAGGTATTGCCAACTGGTCTGAATTTTGAGATTGCAATAGACGTGAAGGACTATAATGCGTTAAGAGCTCGCTCAAGTACTGGGGAGCTAAACCATTTAACCATTGCTTTGTAAGTAATTAGCAAGATTTTAAAATGAATGCAATGTTTAAAAGGGCAAAAATATCCGGGGTTTTTTTTGGGGGGGGGGGGGGGGGGGTATCCTGTTAATACGTGATTATTATTAGAATTAATAGATTATTATTACTGTGTTTCAACTTTGGGCAGCTTTATGTCCCAGGGGTTGATTTTTATTATTATTATTAATAATAAAAAAACAATCAGATTCCAACTTTTTCTTTTATGAAAATCAAATAAAAACAGATGTAGAAACCATTTACATGTCTTCATCATTTTTTGCTACTTTTCAAATGCCTTTTATGTATAGATTTTATTGTTGCACCCTTGTACCAGAGACAGATTTAAAAATTCGAACTAAATATTCTAACCTCTTAAAAAAAAAAGTTTATAAATTATTACATGCTAAAAACTATGATCATCTAAACAATGTATGAGAAAGTAAACCATTTTTTTCTCTTTTCAAACCTGATGACTTTCTCACATTTGTGGCATCATTTCCACACCAAACAATTTTGCCCCTAATGAAGTTTACACATAACTTAAATAGAATTTTGACTACAGATATCTTGAACCATCTTTCTAGTCAAATTATAATTGCACATATCTCTAATGATCACTTTGACTTTAATCTTAAATTTGACTGACTTAGATCTTAAATATAATTATGAATTGTCAAACCCAAGTATTAAATGATAACTCGGCTTGCCATTTGACATTTATAGGACGGGTGTATGATTCGACTACACTGGTTTGGGATTTTCTTGTAAAATAACAGCTTTGACCTAGAAACCTGTAAATGACATTTAATTAGTAGTATGTTTTGTCATAAAACAAATTTAATGCATGTACAATGTCAGGCCATTTTGACTATTAATATCTTTGTTTCAGATGTCGAAAATACTGTATATTCCAGATATCTTTAATAATGAAGAGATAATGATATCAGCAATTAGAATTGCGACATAAAAAAAAAACAGTTTTATCAGACATCTGGAATTGGCAATTTTACCAATAATAATTTAATTAGACATCTCAATTAGGCTTGTAAAAACTCAATTGTGGATGGGCTATTTTTAATTACAATTTCTACAAATAAAAACTAAAATATTTCCAGTAGAATAAATGTTTGAATGTAAATTGTGACTAGTATGGATTACAAATATCTTAAAAGGATAGTTGACCAAAAAATTTACATTTTGTCATAATTTACTAACCCTTAAGTTGTTATAAACCTGTTTGAGTTTCTTTCTTCTATTGGACACAAAGTTTGGAACAACATGAGGGTGAGTAAAGGATGACAGAATTTTCATTTTTGGGTTTACTATCCCTTTAAATGTATTGCTTGCTATGATCGGTAAGAGATATCTGGAATTACAACTAGTTATGCTCTAAATGCTAAAATGTGTTGTGACCCTCATCAAATGCTCATGATTTTTTTGTAGGTACGGCCATCCCAAAACCAGGCAAATATCCACTTGATGTCACATTTGATTATTATTATTTTTGTGTCAAATTGACGGTTCATCTTTTTCTATTTCATGCACTCAAATATTGTCTTGAAAGATATGTCTAACTGGTTGGGAAAAAAGGTCCAGTCACTTCCTACTTTTTAATGTTGTTGAATGAAAAAAAGCTGGATTTGTCATTAATGTAATGTTGATTCTGGGTAAATTGTTTAAATGCAAGTGTATGAAGACAACCTTACTGTATTCTGTATTTAAAATTGATTTTCTTTGTAGATAAGTTCCATCATTCCTTTGTATGAGGAGTAAACAGGCCTGCAAATTTGTTAAAATGATTGGAGACTTATTTGGTTTAGCCTCCTGAAAGATGAATAAAAGACCCCTCTTTTTGTACACTTTTTTTCTTTGTTTCTAATTTATTTGTGTGCCTTGATTTACTGGTTTCTTTTACATCTACGAAAGCTATTTTTTAAATGTATATTTTGTTTATTTTCTTAAAGAAAAAGAAAAAAAGGAGTATCCACTTCGTCGCGAAGGAAGTGCGCAGGACTCTCTGCGAATTTCCCGGATAGAGTTTTATCGCCATATTTAGTGCAGGGTCGCCGGCAGTGTACGAGGATTTTAAGCCGCCGTTGCTCCACTAAGTAATTCAATATAGCATATTTGTTCACTTTCCTATAACCTTCGCATCCCTCTGCACAAGCAAACAACGTCGCTTACCATTTCCACCTCCTCCCGATCCCCAAGTAACCATGGCAGATCGAGAGCATTTGGTATACCAGGCTAAACTAGCAGAGCAAGCAGAGAGATACGATGGTGAGTTGATTTTTTTGTGGCGATTTGTATTGTCACACATTTTGAATAGCCGCAGATGAAGAATAAGAAGCAGAGCAGGATTTCTATGTCCTATTACTGGTAAAATTGTTGGTTGAACCCCAAAAAACTGAGCGCTGGATAGTCACATGCGCACGTCCAGGTGAAATGGGAAGAAATATCCGTTTGGAAAGGCCTAGACTAACTCAACCCAACCAGAGCTTGTACTGCATTGTTACATTGTTAATGTTTCAAACTGGGGTCCGTGAGGAGTCTAGAGAAAACCTGTATTATTAAGCAATACGATTACATTAGAAGCAAGTTATAGTAAGTAAATAATTAAATTAGATTTAAATAAATGAATAAAATTGTGTATAAAATAAACGTTATTAATGGATTAAATATAAACATACAATTTTATATATACATAAATAGATTAAAATGAAATAAGTAAATAATAATATATTTAACTAGAATATATTTTCTTTAATTATAAAAATTATAAAAAGGTAACAATATAAATTAATTAAATAATTTAGGATGAGGTCCCCCACAAATATTTCTGTGGCATCTAAAAGATTGAAAGCCCCTGATCTAAACTAACTCAACCCAACCTAAGCTAATGCATTGTTAATGTACTAAAGTGATCTGTGCTCCCATTGCTAAGAACTGTTCAGTAAAATCTGTGAATGGTTAAATTGTACTGGCTAGTAGGGGGGCTCGCTAACTGGTTGAAATTTAAACGCTGGTAGAATTCGTTACCCTGCTGGTGACTTTTATCTCATAAAAAAGTGCCCGGTGTAAAATCCTAAATTGTAAAAGGCAGCTATATATTTTCATGAATAAAGACCAAATGTAGGCTACACTGTTAAATTGTTACATGGGCTGCACGATATCGAAGAAAAGTGCAATATCCGATAACTCATTAAATAATGCGATGCGATACGATAATGATTAAAGTTTGAAAAATAAACTTAAATTATCTTTAAAATATATTTAAAATTATATAACCTACATGCATGTTTCACATTCTTTTTACAGCAGTGTTTTACTGTAGCATAAGTTAAGAAGTGTTATTTTAACATAAGTGTAAACCACGAGGTTTAGGGTTTCAGGTCGGCCGACATTAGAGTTTATTTAGCAACAGAAACTGAATAATCAAATGTAAAAATGAAACACTGCTTAGTTTTCACTATATGAATTGTGAGTGATTTTCTCTTTATTTTATTTATGACCCTAGTTATTGCAAGCTGTTGCGATATCGATATGCATATCGCGGTATACATTTGCAATATTTAGTTAATTTCGCCATATAGACATATTTTTATCTACTCACTGTATTACTGTGCTGTACTGCGTTATTTATTTTGATGTTTTGTTCATTTTTTGAATGTCTTTATTTATTTTATTCAATTCATTAATTTTTTTAGATTCATCTTTTTAAAAAAAAGTTTATAATGGTTCCCCGACGCCAGTCTGAAAACCCCTGCACTAACGGATACATTTTCATTTAGCTACAAATGATCTAAATAAAAACAGACTTGGTTCAGGTTTTATGTCTGTTAACAAGTGATAGTGTGGGTTGATGATGAACAGTGTGAGATTTTATCAAATTTCATATTTTCAATATTTTTACTGTATCAATGTTTTTGTGGACCCTTGATATTGACAAATACACCTAATGCTGAATTCAGGGTAGTGTTTTGGGTGCTTTTAATATGACACCGTTTAATACCGTGTTATAATAATATAAAACCGTGTTATTTCCTATTAAATATCATTTTGAATGTTGTGTTTTGTTCTGATTTTTCATGGATCCTTTGTATTTATAGGTTGGATAAATAGGAACTAGATTGATAAAGTTCAAGACATCTTTTGTTGTTAGCTTGACATAGACTTAGTTAAACAATAAGACTGTTCGATAAACTAATAGATGACTGATGAGATGAATGTAAATGATTGTACTGCATAATATCTTGCAGTTACAAAAGGTTGTTGTTTTTTGAGAATTTCAACTAGGGATGCACGCACCAATAGGATTTTGTTTGACCGATACAGATTTTAACTAAACTCTTTTCCGATACCGATATTTGTCCCTTGCTGTTGTCATTAAAATGGATTAGTTTTTGATCATGTTTTAAATTAGCAAAGTTCAAAAACGCATGCATTGATCAAGGTATACTAGTTTATTGCTTATATCATCAAATAATTTCTATTGAACATGGATTGGATCCATTTAACATTCATCAACAGGCCAACATAAATGCATAAATACAACAGAATAAAGATGCATTATGAAATAAACAGGGCTTTTCAGGTAGGTCTAACAGTAGTTTTCAGGTACAGGCCTGTGCTTTGGATGTGTGCGCACACAAGGCTTCTCACACAGTGAGTAGAACTGAGTTCTCTTTTCATGTCTTCTTGACACACAAGCTTGATCAGGACAGTGACAGTTCTGTCAATTGTCCCGAGCGTCGTTCTCGCTGGAACCGGGCAGTCCGTATTGTTGAGCCCTGCTGTATTTTAAACAGATTTTATTTTGTTTTAGCAAGTATTTAATTATTTTGCCAAGAGAAAAAAAGGTGGATTATGGAACAGACACTATACAACTCGGTGCCTTCACGCAGTTAATTATTAATTGTTTTATGACAAAACATACTACTAATTATTAAACCATCGGTTTGTTATATCAACCTTTTTCATTCTATAGCCAATATGCTCATGGTTTTAAATTGATAAAAAAAACTGGTCGATACATCGGTGCATCTCTTTCAACATAAAGGCCCGGTCACACCTAAAACCTTGACTATATTAGCATCCACATGAATGCGCAGTAACATTCGTGTGCTGCAGTTTTTGTGGTCTACCGCTTTAAATGCTTGAGCTCTTTAAAGCAGTATGGATTCTGATTGGCTGTAAATGTTTTTATCGTTCATCAGCTTGAAAAGAATCATTACGAAAGTGATTCCAACTCTATTGTTTCTCTGTGCTGTTGTGGTGTGGACTTCACAACACTTCAGCTTAGATGTCAAAACAAGAAGTGTTTAATTTTATAGGATTAAAATAGAGAAATAAATGCAATTATTATTAGGGAAGTGTATATTTTCCTTCTACTGCTTTTCAGTGAATACATTTATGAATTGTGACAGAAGAGCTCTGTCCTTTTTCCCTTTGATTTCCAGATCTTTGTTGATGGGTTCCCTTTGTGTCATTAGGATCAATCTACTCTCTCTGTTTCAGAAATGGTGGAGACGATGAAGAATGTTGCAGGGAAGGACATCGAGCTCACAGTAGAGGAGAGAAACCTGTTATCAGTTGCGTATAAGAATGTGATTGGTGCGCGGAGAGCTTCCTGGAGGATAATCAGCAGCATTGAGCAGAAAGAGGAGAGCAAGGGCGGAGAGGACAAACTCAAAATGATCCGAGAATACAGACAAACGGTGAGACTACATTTGATTTTTTTAATAGTTTTAGTTAGCTTTCGCACCAGAGGAACATTTTCATAGTTCCTATAACTATTGGCGGAAGAACCTGCTTTTGGATTACAGGTACTGGGAACGATTTTAGTTATAAGAACGCCCTATCATGGGGGACTAAATAAGCTCCTACTTCTGAGTAGGGACTAAACCAGCACAATAGGAACTACCAGTGACGCAAATGTACGTTGGTTGGCCCGAACGCATGCCATACGAAACACCAGCACCTGCCATTTTTAAAAAGCTGTGTAAACACACAGTTCACATACTCAATGAACTCAAGTAACTCCATACTCCCAATAACTCCACGGAAATGGAAAACAGTGATTATATAGCATTTTCTTGTTACCTTTGTCTGCTGTGTTGTTCTTTTCTCAGCCTCAATGATATGTAGCACTGCAAATTGTCGTAGGAGTTTTTGTTTTTCGCCTAAATGATGTCGCTGTCGGCCGGCTTACTTCACTTCAGAGTTCCTACTGGTGGTGTGAATGCAACCAGGAAAATGGCCCTAGGGGAAAATTTGTCCTCGGGGAACCACCCTGGTAGCTTGTTCCTGTAACTGAGTTCCTACAACTACCCGGTGCGAAGAACCTTTCAGTGATTAGTTCTTAAAAGATAAGAAACTCTTAGTGTGAGGTAGTGTTGTCAGAAGTCACGACTTCGGTACCAAGTCGATACTGAAATTTTAAATATGTGACGATCCCTAATATCTCCACTGATAGATGGATCCGCTGATATACGCCTGCTTTCAAACGCTCCCGTGTGTCGAAGCGCTCGGTGAGGACATGTTTTTGAAGCGTTGGCCAATCAGAGACATGTTGAGCGCGTGAACACAATGGCCAATCAGAGGTGTTTAAGAATCCGTTCAACAGCGCTCAAAATGCTTGGGGGAAATGCTGGTGTCGTCACATTTTTATAATTTCAGTACCGACTTGGTACCGAAGTCGGTACTTTTGACAACACTAGTGTGAGTAACATTTAAAAAAAAATTGAAATAACCTTTTTCCACAATAACCTTTTGTGCAGTGGAAAGATTCCATGGATGTTAAAGGTTCTTCATGGAACCATCAATGCCATAAATCGTCGCATTGCGCTGCATGTGTCCTGTGTAGACACGGTGTTACATGGTGTCTTGTGAAAGGCTTTTAGGCAGTTTGTTTTTTAATTTCATATAATCTAGTAGGGGTGGGAATCACCAGAGGCACCACGATATGATATTATCCCGATACTTAGGTCACGATACGATATTATTGCGATTTTAAACATATTGCGATATTCTGCAATATATTGCAATTTATTACCTTTTTTCAACTTCAATTTTTGCATTTTTTCCAAACAAAATTATTACATTTATATCGCTTAAATGTTTGCGCTCATTGCAATTTTTACAATGGGGGTAATATTGTTAAGAATTTACACAACACAAAGAAGCTTGATTTAAATTGTTTAATTAAATTGAAAAAAGTAGCACAAATAAATACAATAGAATAAAGATACAAATAATGACAAATAAAGAGAAAAGTTTTTGAATAGGTCTAACACTAGTATTCATAAATACAGAAACTGAATAATGTAATCAAATGGATATACAACACTGTATACTATCCAGATCGTAACACTGGGTAGTATTTTAGTCCTGACTAAATTAAATGCATAGGCTATTAATCCTGATTCCTTTAACTTAAAGCTATCTTTTGTTGTTTTTTGACAACAAAATTAATGACCGACACATATGGCTGCCGTCACTTTAAGAGATAGTGCACGGATCCTGTGTTCATTTAGTGTCACATGCGTTTTATGCTTATTAAAGACAAAACCGACTATGTTTAGAGTATACTCACGAAGACCGAAATTGACACAATTTTGCGTGTTAAAGCAATACAATCCGCGAAAAATAACATTTGTTACTGGCCAGCTGTTTTTGAGGCGGATTTTCTACGAATGTGCGCATAGAAAATAATCTCAGAGCACGCGAACACTGATTAGTTTAAAATCGCTTGAATGTTTAAACTGGTAAGACTTAAAAAGACGTGCAAATGGTAAACTTCAGTCACGATGCACTGCTGGGCCGATTGTGCAAGTGAATATCCCGTCATGTCCCGACTCCTAAAACGCGAGTGTGTATTATCGCCGCAGCGCTTGATGCTTGCCTTGCACAACACATTTTGAGAGAAGAGAGATAGAAGACGCGGCACCGCTGAACACTCACGCAGACATGCACTCTACTACCAAAGTTAAATTCTCATGTGTAGCTAATTTAAATAATAAAAGATCGATACTTGGCGCCCGTGTATCGATACAGTATTGCCACAGAAAATATCGCGATACTATGCTGTATCCATTTTTTTCTCCCACCTCTATAATCTAGGTATATTTGATGCCATAATTAATATGCCATTTCTTATCATTCCCTTTGCAGGTTGAGAATGAGCTGAAATCTATTTGTAATGACATACTGGATGTACTGGACAAACACCTCATTCCTGCAGCCAACACAGGAGAATCCAAAGTTTTCTACTACAAAATGTAGGTGTTTGACAAATCAAAGTACATGCATTTAGAACTTCATAGGTCTCCTACACAACAGTTAAAGGGTCAGAGTGTTCAGTATATAACATATAAATTAAAATAGTCAACTTTGCCAATGCAAATTTGATGAATCTTTTCACCCACACTTGGTTTTTTGTGTGTGTTTGCAGGAAGGGTGACTACCACAGGTACCTAGCAGAGTTTGCCACAGGTAATGACAGGAAGGAAGCAGCAGAGAACAGTTTGGTGGCGTATAAAGCTGCCAGTGACATTGCCATGATTGAGCTCCCACCCACACATCCCATCCGGCTCGGCCTAGCACTCAACTTCTCTGTCTTTTACTACGAGATCCTTAACTCCCCCGACCGCGCGTGCAGGTTGGTTTTTTTTCCTTTTTCTTCTCACTTAAAGTGTGCAATGTTTGTTTGATATTACAACTTCTAGGGCTGCACCCTAATAGTTGACAAAACGTTATTCGAAGAGAAGAGGCTTAGTCAACCAAATTTGAATTAGTCTCTTAGTCACAGAAAAATTGGCAGATTGTTAACGGCGCTTAATGTACATTTTAAAGGCTAATTGTTATGGTATTTCTCTGTAATGTATAACAATGTACATAAAATATTTTTTTCACAGCCCTTAAACTCAAACCATTTTCTGATTTAAATATCAAAATATTTGCCAATCTAAATGTGATCACATTGCTGAAATATTTGCATATTAGGCACTGTTTACACCTGGTATTAAGATGCGATTTGATCACAAGTGGACGACGCTAAATACATGTGTAAACGGGATCTAAAATGTTTTGAGCTTGTCCGCTTTCGACCAGTCGAAAACTCATTAGACTGGATTGCTTTCGTAGTGTAAACGCTCATGTGGTAATAGTCCCTTTCAAGGAAAGTGTTCACCTGGCGGCCATATTTGCAATGCCTCCGGGCATCCAAGATCAAGTCCAATCTATTTGATTGGGGGAATCCTGAAATCTCAAAAAACTGCTTGCTAAACTCACAAAATAAATAACATTTCAAATCAGCAACAAAATCGGACATGAAATGTTCCATAAATGTTGTTTCTTATGCTCAAATAGTGTTAAAAAAGCTTGTTTTTCAGGTTAGACGAGCCGAGCGATTGGCTCTTTTACTTAGAAGGCGGGACGCATTCCACCATATTGCGTGTTGCAGTTTCTCCCATTCATAAGTTATAGGAGTGAACCATCTTTCTATATAGTTTTTGATGCGTTCGAACAGCTGCAAAAATCGACTTCTCTCCGCCTACTGACACAATCTTCACATCATGTGAAGCACGTTAGCCAGACGGGATTTAAACTTTTTTGGCTCAAGTCATCCTCATTTATATAGCGCTTTTAACAATGTAGATTGTTTCAAAGCAGCTTTACAGAGATAAACATATAATTTAACCCTCTGGGGACCAGAGTGTTTTTGGGGCCCTTTGGATGTTTTGACATGCTCTGACATTTGTGCTTTTTTCAGTTGCTTATAAACATATTAATGGCACAGGTGAAATTAAACTCTATTTAGCACAAACAGGTCTACCATAATGTGTGAGCAACATGTATGTACATGTTTGTATTTTTGAGAGAATATTGTTTATGCGTGGTTATTGAAAAAACTAAAAAATAAAGTTTTTGAAATAAGGACACAAAAAACATACTAAATATGAGTCCACAAGACTTTTGACTAATGTACGTTGTTGCCTAGAGTTTTTGCTTCAAAATGATCTGAAAATCATCCTTCCTAATCATTCACATAAAACAATAGATTGTTTTAAATTGTGAAAAACATTTTTTTGTTTGCCAAGGCAATATGCGGATGGGCGGAACGGCCCAACCCCTATCATGAATAATTAAGTGGTTCTCAGACAGTGACCCTGCATAATAATGAGCCTTTCATTCAGGGGTGTCACACAAGAAAGAATGTAAGGACATATATATATATATATATATATATATATATATATATATATATATATATATATATATATATATATATATATATATATATATATATATATATATATATATTGTCATTGCATTCTTTCTTGTATATATATATATAGCCTACATGTATATATATATATATATATATATTTTGTCATTGCATTCTTTCTTGTATATATATATAACCTACATGTGTATATATATATATATATATATATATATATACACACACACACACACACACAAACACACACATATATATATATATATATACAAACAATCAAAATATAAATGAAAGCCAAAAGCACATTTTTAGTCATACCTGGAAACAAATCCTGGTCAAATGCTATATGGGCCATTCTACAGAATTGGTTCAAAGTTACAGTTGGAAACATCTTGAAAAGAAAATAGTCTTTTCCCATAAATGTCTTATAAAGTATTATTTTTTAAAGTAGACCAATACAATAAAAATAAACCAGTCGCATTTCAAAGTCGCTCGCGAAATGACCGCCAGGTGGCGCAAAGGGACATTTATCAAAACGTAAGTGGGGCTAATGTCAATTAACAACAGTAAGGATGAAATTCTACAAGTTATGGTAATTTACAAATAAGCCTACAACAAACATTTATTTTTAAACAAATATTTTTAAATATGCAACATGCACGTTTAAACAACAAACAATACAATCTGAACCAGCGCTCCTGTATTGAGACATGCAGCGCGTTTCAGTTACGATCCTGGTTCCAGTGGCCTTAATACATTCACGGCTTTTTAAAATGTCACAAAGCGTTTTGAGATGGTTTTGAATGAAATATTGAAGTTTATAATTAGGGTATTTTGGCACACCACGCCGAGTGGCTATGCATTATTCTAAAATCTGGCTTTATTCTGGCATGTTGAATTAGAGTTTGACAAACGCGGCGGCGCGTTCATTTGGATTTATTTTTCTCATAACAGCTAAAAGAACTTACTGCGTAATTGTTGGTCATACAGATAAGATATCATCTTTTAAAACTGTAAAAGGTCTACTTTTATTCATGTAGGCTAAAGTAGGCCTACACTCACACAGGCTAACGACAAAACGTTTTCTCGCTCATGTGAGAAACAAACGTTTGGGCATTTCTCAGTGAGGAAATTAATAGCCGAGCGGTAGAACTTACGGTTCATCATCAAGATGACACGGGTTCAAATCCCGATCAAACATGGTCTACTGCAAATTTTATATTTATTAATGCAGAGAGATTTGTCTAGCTCTAAAACTCTGTTACGCCATACAGTTTTTTGGTTATATTTATAAAATAAAATTACCATGCATTTCCATTTTACACTAGGAACAATAGTATCGAACACAACGACGTTGCATCTGTACCAATCGTACGAGGCTACCAATCGTAATTTCAAAAGCAGTTCTGTAAAAAAAGTAATTTTACATATATAGCCTATATATATATATTTTTTTTTATTAGGCCTATTATTATCATTATTATTTTGATTCCCTACAACCTAGAGTTTTTAAAAACATGGTTTTAAGTAAAGTGTGATTTGCCAGGAAGGACGGGGATTTCCTTCTGGTCTAAACATCCCTGCTTCTGCTGAATTATTTGAATCCCCACACCCCTCCCTCCACAGTAATCAATGCTATAGGCTACTTCACCAATAGACCATATCAAATATAAAATAGAGATATGCAACAAGCACGTTTAAACAACGACAAACAATAAAATCAAAACCAGCGTTTCAGTTGTTCATTAGTTCAAGTGGCCTTAATGCATGCACGGCTTTTCAAAATTTTACAAAGCGTGTTGAGATTATTTTGAATGAAATATTGAAGTTTATAATTAAGTGTTTTGGCAGACCACGCCGAGTGGCCCTATGCATTTTTCTAAAGTCGGGTTTTATTCGAACTTTTGCTAACGACAAAAACAGTTTATCTGTCGTCTCTGTCTCCGGGAACTGCGCGTCACAAAAATGAACCGAAGCCACTTCAGCTCAGTCACTATAAGAAATCGGCTCTGTCTAAAGCCTTTAAATGTCTAAATATTCTGGCTAATAAATGTTATCTGATTATGTAATCCATATGAAAACGAGAGGTACAGAGGATGTACTCAAACATGTAGCCTGTAAGCGCTTCCCAATGAGAAAATGACAAGGGTGAAAATCTCGCTCTAATTAAATGTAGCAGGCTAAATCGCCCTGAATTAAAATGTAAAAACAGATCAAATAATGTATTTGTCGAAATGTTGCGATATTGTTTCATTTAAGTTCATAATTATTCAATACATGTTATTTAATTTAGCAGCATTACCACAAAGCACCGTGGTTCGATATTTATTTGAATAAAAAAATAAAAAATAAAAAACTTAATTCACAAATTGCATGCCTGGTTGAAAGGATCCAAAGATCCATGTAGACTTTAATATTGAGTTGAACATTTTGTTCATGAAAACAAATTAACATGCGTTTTTTTCAGATTATATTTAGTTTTGCTTGGAAAAAGCTGGCCCAAACCAGTTTTATTTCATCAATTACTGAAATAATGAAATATTTAGTAATAAACTTTTATGATAGAAATATCACTAGGCTACATGTAACTAAATCATTTAATTCCTTCATTATCAACACTGTCTAGAATAGCGATTTAAGTGTGAATTGCGACTTCTCTTTGTGTTAAGTCAGCCTCAGACTCCGATAGCCTGTGGGGGGTTGGAGGGACAGTTCAGTGCTGTATCGAGCGCGCAGGACAATAGGCCTATGTGCTAATGTTCCTCTTTCATATGGAGAGCGAGGGAGACTAAATAAACTTGTTAAAAAGAGATTCAGCGCGAGAGAGGCAAAGAAAAACGCATGTTTTAATTTAATTATGTTGCTTTGGACAATTTTCGTTTTGTAGGCCTACTGTTTTAATTGTTTAATATAGCTGTCATTTCTTTGGCAATACAAATTTAAAATGTCGCAAGAATAAGATTAGCCTAGTGTTTCTTATTTTGCATCGCAAAAGAAATAAACTCTAAACCCGATGCAACCCTGTTTTAAATTAAAAAAACTGTCCCGACACTTTATTTAAACCTTGAAATGTTCGAACTTGGTTTCAAACTTAAGTAATTTTAGTGTTCTTTTACATTACACAATAATTTAGCAGACTAAAGACGAGCTTCTTCATTTTCATTTTCTGATGCAATCGGCTGACAATCTTCCTTCATCAGTTTTTGTCGTTTGTGCAGCGGCTGCGGTTCTACAGGAATGTAGCAAATTTATGTTGTAATAATAATTAAACAAAACTCTTGACTTTAAATAAGTAAACAGTTATAAACAGTTAGCTATTTAAGCATCAAGAAGGTTAAATATAAACGCTGTTGGCCAACATCGGTTAACAACATGTATGCTACATTGAGATTCGATCTCGAGTCGATTGAAGCTCCTCGAAGCTCGTGTTGTTGCGTTAACCACTGAGCTATCGTCTGTACGTCTGTAAATGTTTTTATTGCAATGTTTTACTTTTTCATTATTTATTCAATTTCATTTCAGTAGCCTAATTTCAGTATTGTGATTATGAATTATTTTAACTATACGTTTCACTTGTTGAATTCATCTGCTACCAGCTTTCAATCGCTCTGAATCAGTGCGGTGCGGCAGCAGATTACGCATTAGAGAGAATAAACAAACACTTTTCAGAGTCTATGATTGTAGCGCCTCTTGGCGGTAAAAGGCAGCAAATACACCACACATTTTACCGCCGCGGTGGAACGGCTGATGTGGGCATTGTCATGGCTTGCCTCAACATTTGCGTTTGAATAGCGCGCGTCCTCCGTGGGCGTGTCAGATTAACGCGTAATGAAGTGTAATGAGCTGGGGAAAAAAAAATCTGACAGCACTCTCTTTTCGTACAGATTACATAAACTGAGAATATTTGTTTTTTATATAAATTACATCATTGAAAAGAAGAGAATTCAAGCTTCATAAAGAAAAATCTCTCGTGCCTGTATGACAAGTATTTGCAGAGTTAGAGTTAATTTTTCGGACGTGTTTCAGAATGGACTGCACTGACAGAGAGAAGGCAAAACTCGCATCATGTTTATTTTTCTTTATTTGACAAAAAGCACAAAACTTTGTTTTTATTGTGAGTATACAGAAAAATAATAGACAATTAACAAGATCGATTGATGTATAACACTTATATGTACGATCAAAATCAACAGAGTATTTTAAGTCTATTTTTCTGCTATGTGAAAAAAAAAACGGCAAAACGCGCGGGGCGCGTTTCTGGTCCCCAGAGGGTTAAGGTAACAGAGATTGTTTTGGCTTTATAGCGATTCTTGAATAATGTTATTTTCCAGCTAAAGTTAGTTTTGATTGATTCACTTCCGTCGAAATGATCATTTGTTATTAAATTAGGGGCCGCTAAGACGACACCAGTTCTCTCTAAACAGACTTTAAACGTGAACCTGTGATAAATGCTGATGGCGTTCACATGCGCATTAAGAATTGATTCTATAAGACCCGAGTTTGGTTTGAGGACAAAAAAACATACCAAGCTCAATGTTCTCTCACCATTCCTGATTTCTAAAACGCAGAAACGAAAGTGCTACTCTTCGTATGTTTTTCCGTCATCTCCGGTCATGTTTATATGTAAATTGTGCAAGCTTATTTTGTCCATTAGATAGAAAGATCAGAAAAAGCCCATACATTTACCCACTCATAGACTCTCCCAGGACAGAAATGGTTGAAAGTGGACAAAAGAGACGGATCCGGATCGACCAAAATGTATCTTAATACCAGGTTTAAACATGGGCTTGGATACTCAACAGCTGGTTCTCAATCTTTTTTACTTAAAGGGATACTCCACTTTTTTTGGAAATAGGCTCATTTTACAACTCCCCCAGAGTTAAACTGTTGAGTTTTACCGTTTTTGAATCCATTGAGCCGATCTCCGGCTCTGGCGGTACCACTTTTAGCATAGCTTATTGAAGTGGACAAGACCATTAGCATTTCTCAAAAAAAAAAAAGACCAAAGAGTTTCGATATTTTTCCTATTTAAAACTTGACTCTTCTGTAGTTACATCGTGCACTAAGGCCGACGGAAAATGTAAAGTTGCGATTTTCTAGGCTGATATGGCTAGGAACTATACTCTCATTCCTGCGTAATAATCAAGAAACTTTACTGCCGTAAAGTATTCATTACGAATACTTTACCAAAAAATATTACGCCTGCTGCTCTCATGGTACGGCAGTGAAGTTTCTTGATTATTACGCAGGAATGAGAGTATAGTTCCTAGCCATATCAGCCTAGAAAATCGCAACTTTACATTTTCCGTCGGCCTTAGTGCACGATGTAACTACAGAAGAGTCAAGTTTTTAACAGGAAAAATATCGAAACTCTTTGGTTATTTTTTTTTGAGAAATGCTAATGGTCTTGTCCACTTCAATGATGTATGCTAAAAGTGGTACCGCCAGAACCGGAGATCGGCTGAATGGATTCAAAAACGGTAAAACTCAACAGTTTAACTCTGGGGGAGTTGTAAAATGAGCCTATTTCCAAAAAAAGTGGAGTATCCCTTTAAGGCCTGTGAGTATTGATATATAAAATGATTTTAACCATAATCTATTTCATGATTCCCTAAGTTTCAAGAACTGTATGTTCTTTAATAAAAACAAGTTATTGAGGGGGGGAAATAAATATTTCAGTCTAGATCTTTATTTTATATCATTATTTTAGAATTTCATTTTAGATCATTTTAGTTTAATACATCATCATGTATCCCCCTGGTTCAGAACCACTATCTTATTGGAAAACCCCAGTCTGACTCTCCACTCGCTCCTCCAACAGGTTGGCGAAGGCAGCGTTTGATGATGCGATAGCTGAGCTGGACACACTGAGTGAGGACAGTTACAAGGACTCTACACTCATCATGCAGCTGTTACGGGACAACCTGACGCTGTGGACTTCAGACATGCAGGGAGATGGTGAGACATACACACCTTAGAGAAGGGAATTGCCATAGTAGACTGAAGCAAACACTGTGAGATGCAGAATTAATTATAACCTCTGGATTAGATGCTATTATAATAAGAAAAAAATCTGAATTGCACAGTGCAGTCAGTCCCTGAGGTACTTTGCAATACAAATATCATTTTCTTAATTGGTATTGTCAGTAAAATTAATTTCTTTTTAAACATTTTTGAGGTTAAAAGACCTGAAATTGGTGTGGTGATAAGATTTTTTAAATTAAGAGATCAAATGCACGAATTCAAATTGTTTTTACCTATTTAAAAGCAACAGGTTTGTGTTAGTCAGTGTAATCTTCAGTGTTAGTCAGATACTCAGTGTAACTAGTCAGAACACTGCCTGAGTGATCGTCACAAAGATAGATTCCGTAAAACAACTATTAAATATCAAATGATTGGATTGTAATATTACTATTCCTCTGAGGAAATTGTGTTGGTATCCTTGAAAAGGTTTTTAATCAAGTTGTAGCCTAGAATTAGCAGGAAAAAGGGGTCTTGCATATCTTTAGTTTCTATTTTAATTAAAGTCCCCTTATGGTGAAAATCAAGCTTTTGCTGTTGTTTATATGTCTATGTGGAGTTTTTAATATGCTTTAAGACAGCGATGGTGTTTACTTATGAATTTGCACATGGTTTGAGTATTTTCTCCTCAAAACTGCAGTGAACCAAAGACAGTCTCAAAAACGCGGTTTGAAATCGCCCCTGTTCTCTACGTCACAAACGTTGTAACAAATCACGTCAACGTGCGGGTGGGCTTGAGCATATCATTAACTATACTGCGAAGCAGGCGAGTCTCAAGAGAAGCCAGGTTATCCCGGTATATTTTTCTGATGAGATGAAAAATCGGATACATGTAGTAATATAGCGGGTGAATTGGGTGTAGGATGTATGTAATGATGAACTATATGCCTTTCTCCACTGACTTTCAAAGCGTTTCTAAGGATGCTGATTTTTAGAAGGCAACTGTTGGACTCTGAGATGGAGAACGGGAACGTGGTTTGTGTAACATTAGCAACACGTTATTAGCTGTTGTTTGATAACATAGTCAAGCAAAAGGCTAATCATATTAATAACCGTTATGTGACTTGTAGACAAGCCTGTATAATTCACTCTTCCACTTCTTCAGTGAATCAGTTTCTGGTTTAAACGTATATGGCTGAATTAAACCAGTATTCCCACTTGCCATTGTGCAGCGTTTACTACAGTAACTTAAGTAAAGTTGATCGAGTAGATCTTTGAGCTGGTGTGAGTGAGTGGAGGCGGGGCTAATTTACATATTCATGGCTACACGTAATCTAAGTAAAGCAAGGGTGTAGTTACATTCAAGATATTTTAATTCATGAATTTTTTTTTTACAGGAAAAAAACTTAATGTCATTTTGGTGGTCAAAGATTAGTTTTAAGAGATATAATTATTGACTACAGGGGGACTTTTAATTTAAGTATGGTTTTCGTCATGACAAAAGAAATCGAGTTAATGGAGTTAATAAACAATTAAATAAAGTTATTTATTTAATCAAGTTAATCCAGGATTGGGTTTAGATTTTTTAAGAAAAAAGGATCTTAAATCTATCTTTAGTTTCTATTTCTATAATTTTCTTTAAATTATACTTTGTCATTTTTAATAACTAGTATGGTTTTCGTCATGAAAAAAGAAACATAGTGGAATGGTGTTTAAAACAAACAAACAATTTATTCAAATGAATAAGTTCTTATTTATTCTTAGAAAAGGCTAGAAAAGATTGCATTGATTAATGTATATGGATCGTAATTACCCATTGACATGTTCCTAATAAGCACACTTAAGGGTTAGTTCACCCAAAAATTGTTGTTCCAAACCTGTAAGACTTTTGTTCATCTTCAGAACACAAATGAAGATATTTTTAATCAAATCTGAGCCAGTTCTGTACACTCCATAGACAGCTACGCAACTACCACTTTGACACTTCAAAAAGTTAATAAAAAATATAGAAAAACAAATCCATATGAATCAAGCGGTTTAGTCCAAATTTTCGCTTTATATGATGAGCAGATTAAATTTAGGATTTACTTTTATGAAATGAAAAATAGAATCTTTGGTTAGTGTTGACACATACATTTACACAGAAACTTTATATAGCCATTCTGTGCTTTTCTACAATGAGTTAAAGGTGCAAGGAAAACATTATTTGTAGCTTTTTATTTATTTTATTTTTAATTATAGAAACAAGCACATAGCTTGAGGAACATGCCAAACCAATTTGAATGTAAATAAATGTGAACAAGCACTAGTCGGGTCGGGTGTGTACCTGTGTGTAATAGTTTGTAGAGTCTGTGACTAGTTGCAGCGTGAAGAGTGTCGGCGA